CTTGGTCAGGAACATGCCTTCAGCTAGCTGATTGGATAGTGAATGTAGCGCTACCCTCATTGGGGCCGCTGTGTTGTGGGTGTCCCTAAGCCTGTCTCCGCACAGCTAGGCACCAACTTGCATCCAAAGACTACGACCAGTCCATGGCTTGGTTTTGGTAATTTATTAGGCAAAATCAACTTGGATGGGGAATAGGGATTATGGGATGTCCAGTTTGGCTTGAATCAATGGAAGGGGGCCACTTCCCTCCTATGTACAAAGGCAGATCCTTTCCCTGAAAGCCGTCAGTCATTATGGATCAGTAGCAGCTGCCCCTTCAGGGCGAGGAACTAGCAGCACCTAAAAAATCACTTTACTTTTAATAGATACATGCAGAGATGTCTTCTCTCCCCCCATAGAGCTGCTGACAGCTCCACAGCATGCAAGCACTACCAGCCCTTCTGGCTTCTCAGAAGATCTCCCGGGACAAGGATAAAGGATTGAGCCCAGTAACTGTCCTCCTTGAGGTGCTCCAGGTCTCGATCCCATCCACACCTCTCTACAGAATGTATCCTCCTTAGCCAGCCTGAGCCCAGCCTAGAGGCCGCCCCCCCAGACCTAGGGGACCCTTCCCAGGCACCGACAGTCTCCTCAGCACTCCATCTTCCACCTGACTCCTCTGTCAGCCTGACTCTCCCATATTTATATGCCAGTCCACCACTCTACCAGGGCCTCCAAACCTGGGATTGGCAAGACCCCACCATGAATATGCAGTTTAGACCTCCAACTCTTCCTTCTTACTGACTTCCGGGAGGCTCTATGTTCCACCAGAGTCAAGAGTCATGTTGAGTCATCCAGCTGACCTGCAGAAACCCGAAACCACGCTCAGCTGTTAGTGGGATTATAACAAAGTGGAAGCAACTGGGAACAACAGCCACTCAGCCACCAAGTGGTAGGCCACATCACATGACAGAGCGGGGTCAGCGCATGCTGAAGCGCACAGTGTGCAGAAGTCGCCAACTGTCTGCAGAGTCAATAGCTAAAGACCTCTAAACTTGGTGTGGCCTTCAGATGAGCCAAACAACAGTGCGTAGAGAGCTTCATGGAATGGGTTTCCATGGCCAAGCAGCTGCATCCAAGCCTTCCATCACCAAGTGCAATGCAAAGCGTTGGATGCCGTGGTGTAAAGCACGCCGCCACTGGACTCTAGAGCAGAGGAGACGTGTACTCTGGAGTGACCAATCATGCTTCTCTGTCTGACAATCCGATGGACGTGTTTGGCAGTTGTCAGGAGAACGGTACTTGCCTGACTGCATTGTGCCAAGTGTAAAGTTTGGTGGAGGGGGGATTATGATACAGGGTCTTTCAGAGGTTGGGCTTGGCCCCCTAGTTCCAGTGAAGGGAACTTAAGGTGACATTTTGGACAATTTCATGCTCCCAACTTTGTGGGAAGAGTTTGGGGATGGCCCCTTCCTGTTCCAACATGACTGAGCACCAGTGCACAAAGCAAGGTCCATAAAGACATGGAGGAGCCAGTTTGGGGTGGAGGATCTTGACTGTCCTGCACAGAGTCCTGACCTCAACCCCATAGAACACCTTTGGGATGAATTAGAGCGGAGACTGCGAGCCAGGCCTCCTCCCCCGACATCAGAGCCTGACCTGACAAATGTGCTTCTGGAAGAGTGGTCCAACCTTCCCATAGACACCCTCCTAAACCTTGTGGACGGCCTTCCCAGAAGAGTTGAAGCTGTTATAGCTGCAAAGGGCGGGGCCAACTCAATATTGAACCCTACGGACTAAGACTGGGGGGGCCATTAAAGGTCATGTGTGTGGACAGGCAGCAGCCCAATACTTAGGGCAATATAGTATATATATAGGTACGGTACGAGACTGGAAGGGAGAGAGGCAAATAAAAAAGAAATACACGTGAGTTGGAAGCGTGCCCTATTTGCAGTGGTGGTCAGAATGCCACCCTTACAGATAGCTAAAAAGGGTCATTGGTGTCATGCTGATGGCTCTGCCAAGTGGTGTTGGCCCTGGAACTATGCAGACACCATCAGGTGCGAGGTTAACCAGCCATAGCTGGGGGAACCCCTAGCTACCTCTACAAGAACCCTAAGGTTTCTTGGAACCCTGGCTGAGAATGGCTGCCAGAACACAACTAATGAGGAAGGTTCTCCTGTGTCCAGGTCATGGGATATCTTGTAGTAGTTGGTCACATTCAACTTGGACATTCAACAGTTGGGCGGTTACATTAAAATCATTACCACCATCAGGTGTCCCTATACTTCCAAGTTGCCCCTCCCCCCTTGTACTGGCAGATTAGAATGAAGTGGAATGAAGGTAGTGTCCCCTTCCTCTCTCCAGTCGTGTGACATGTCACATGACAGGCAGAGATAGGAAGAAGGGCACAGTTAGTCCTCCATCCTCACCAGCACGGCGCTGAGACTGAGGACATTTCTCAGGTCTCGTTGTCGGCTCTTTTCCACCCCATGTAGGATGGAGGGAGGAGAAAGCCGAATCCTCTCTACAGCAGCAGCTATCAGCAACTGCTCCTTCTGACAGGAGTGACACTGCAGTCACACGACGAGCGGCAAACCCCTCAACACAATGCGCAGGGCAGGTGCCTGCTTGGCTCCTCCCTTTTCCTGGCACTGGTGCTACCCATGTGGATACAAATATTGGGGTAGCTTCCTGACACTCTATGGCACTGAGGAAGTGGCTTGGAAAAGTTACCAAAGGTCTTCTACATTACAGAACACATCCAGCTAAATGCAACCAACTGCTGCTAGATATCCCATGACCTGGATAATTGAGAACCTTCACAGACTTGCTTGCTTTGTTGTGTTCTGGAGGACCTCCACATTTCCTGCCCTTTAGGTGAAGCTCATTTTCACTTCATCTTATAAGTTATCCAATTAACCCGGGAGATGTTTGATCCTTCCGTGTGGCTTGCTGCTAATCCCAGCAACACAATGGATCATTTGTCTCAGTATAATCAGCATGGTGACACAGATTCCCCGTATCCAAGCAATTCTTTAGCAACATTACCTTTCAGCTCAAAGCATCTCTTAAGCAGTGCAGTCAAGGACCGATAAACATCCTTTGTCGTGCTCATCCGGCACTTTGATCTCAGCTGACACCTGTCCCTACCACCTGTCTTCCATGTCTGCTTAAGTCGGAGACAAGGCCAACATACTGCCTTAGACCGTAGAAGGGGTTGGTGCTCCTCTACCATTCTGAGGGCTTAAAATCCATTAAACATCCCCACCTCAATCTGCAAGCTTCACCAGCCACTCGTGTTATCCAGAATCCGCAGATAATCACAGCATAGTCACCGGAGAATTGTATCTGGATAAACGTCTACTGAAACCAAGAAGGAAGACGGGAATTCGATGGGACTTTTAAGGGTCAAATACAGTCTTAGGTCTTATGAAGGTGATACTGTTCAAACTTGTACAGTTTTATTATTCGATGTATTAAAAACGGCATGAGATGACTACACTTGTAAGAGGTGAACATTCATTAATACATCAAACCCATCATTTTATAAACGACAGACGATGCCAGCCCTTTTCAACCAGGATTCCATGGAACCCAAGCATTCCTCTTGAGGGAGCTCGATGTTTAATTGAGCAAAGAGTAATCTCTGACTCTCAGATTAGTGACCATTGAAACCAATGAATGTTTTAGCTATCTGTAAAGGAGAGGGAAATCTTCCAAATGAGTACAAATTTATGGAGCATTCTTCTCTTTGACCATCAGATAAGAAGGATTCTTCCCATTGACCAACAATGCACTGACCACCAATGTAAGGAGCATTCTTCTTGTTGACCACCAATGTAAGGAGCATTCTTCTTGTTGAACACCAATGTAAGGAGCATTCTTCCCACTGACCACCAATGTAAGGAGCATTCTTCCCACTAACCCCCAATGTAAGGGACATTCTTCCCACTGACCCCCAATGTAAGGGACATTCTTCCCACTGACCACAAATGTAAGGAGCATTCTTCTTGTTGAGCACCAATGTAAGGGACATTCTTCTCACTGACCCCCAATGTAAGGGACATTCTTCCCACTGACCACCAATGTAAGGGACATTCTTCCCACTGACCACCAATGTAAGGAGCATTCTTCTTGTTGAGCACCAATGTAAGGGACATTCTTCCCACTGACCACAATGTAAGGAGCATTCTTCTTGTTGAGCAGCAATGTAAGGGACATTCTTCCCATTGACCACCAATGTAAGGAGCATTCTTCTTGTTGAGCACCAATGTAAGGGGACATTCTTCCCACTGACCACCAATGTAAGGGACATTCTTCCCACTGACCACCAATGTAAGAGACATTCTTCCCACTGACCACCAATGTAAGGAGCATTCTTCTTGTTGAGCACCAATGTAAGGGACATTCTTCTCACTGACCCCCAATGTAAGGGACATTCTTCCCACTGACCCCCAATGTAAGGGACATTCTTCCCACTGACCACAAATGTAAGGAGCATTCTTCTCGTTGAGCACCAATGTAAGGGACATTCTTCTCACTGACCCCCAATGTAAGGGACATTCTTCCCACTGACCACCAATGTAAGGGACATTCTTCCCACTGACCGCCAATGGAAGGAGCATTCTTCTTGTTGAGCACCAATGTAAGGGACATTCTTCCCACTGACCACAAATGTAAGGAGCATTCTTCTCGTTGAGCACCAATGTAAGGGACATTCTTCTCACTGACCCCCAATGTAAGGGACATTCTTCCCACTGACCACCAATGTAAGGGACATTCTTCCCACTGACCACCAATGGAAGGAGCATTCTTCTTGTTGAGCACCAATGTAAGGGACATTCTTCCCACTGACCACCAATGTAAGGAGCATTCTTCTTATTGAGCACCAATGTAAGGGACATTCTTCCCACTGACCCCCAATGTAAGGGACATTCTTCCCACTGACCCCCAGTGTAAGGGGCATTCTTTACACTGACCCCCAATGTAAGGGAAATTCTTCCCACTGACGTCCAATGTAAGGGACATTCTTCCCACTGACCCCCAATGTAAGGGACATTCTTCCCACTGACCCCCAATGTAAGGGACATTCTTCCCACTGACCCCCCAATGTAAGGGACATTCTTCCCACTGATCACCAATGTAAGGGACATTCTTCCCACTGATCCCCAATGTAAGGGACATTCTTCCCACTGACCCCCAATGTAAGGGACATTCTTCCCACTGATCACCAATGTAAGGGACATTCTTCCCACTGACCCCCAATGTAAGGGACATTCTTCCCACTGACCTCCAATGTAAGGGACATTCTTCCCACTGATCACCAATGTAAGGGACATTCTTCCCACTGATCTCCAATGTAAGGGACATTCTTCCCACTGATCCCCAATGTAAGGGGCATTCTTCCCACTGATCCCCAATGTAAGGGACATTCTTCCCACTGACCCCCAATGTAAGGGGCATTCTTCCCACTGATCCCCAATGTAAGGGACATTCTTCCCACTGACCTCCAATGTAAGGTACATTCTCCCCACTGACCCCCAATGTAAGGGACATTCTTCTCACTGACCCCCAATGTAAGGGACATTCTTCCCACTGACCCCCAATGTAAGGGACATTCTTCCCACTGACCACCAATGTAAGGGACATTCTTCCCACTGACCCCCAATGTAAGGGACATTCTTCTCACTGACCCCCAATGTAAGGGACATTCTTCCCACTGACCCCAATGTAAGGGACATTCTTCCCACTGACCACAAATGTAAGGAGCATTCTTCTCGTTGAGCACCAATGTAAGGGACATTCTTCTCACTGACCCCCAATGTAAGGGACATTCTTCCCACTGACCACCAATGTAAGGGCATTCTTCTTGTTGAGCACCAATGTAAGGGACATTCTTCCCACTGACCACCAATGTAAGGGACATTCTTCCCACCGACCACCAATGTAAGAGACATTCTTCCCACTGACCACCAATGTAAGGAGCATTCTTCCCACTGAGCACCAATGTAAGGGACATTCTTCCCACTGACCCCCAATGTAAGGGACATTCTCTCACTGACCCCCAATGTAAGGGACATTCTTCCCACTGACCCCAATGTAAGGAGCATTCTTCCCACTGAGCACCAATGTAAGGGACATTCTTCCCACTGACCCCAATGTAAGGGACATTCTTCCCACTGACCCCCAATGTAAGGGACATTCTTCCCACTGACCCCCCAATGTAAGGGACATTCTTTTTAAGGGACATTTCTTCCCACTGACCCCCAATGTAAGGGACATTCTTCCCACTGACCCCAATGTAAGGGACATTCTTCCCACTGACCCCCCAATGTAAGGGACATTCTTCCCACTGACCCCCAATGTAAGGGACATTCTTCCCACTGACCCCCAATGTAAGGGACATTCTTCCCACTGACCCCCAATGTAAGGGACATTCTTCCCACTGATCACCAATGTAAGGGACATTCTTCCCACTGACCCCAATGTAAGGGACATTCTTCCCACTGACCCCCAATGTAAGGGACATTCTTCCCACTGACCCACCAATGTAAGGGACATTCTTCCCACTGACTCCCAATGTAAGGGACATTCTTCCCACTGACCCCCAATGTAAGGGACATTCTTCCCACTGACCCCCAATGTAAGGGACATTCTTCCCACTGACCCCCAATGTATGTAAGGTACATTCTTCCCACTGACCCCCAATGTAAGGGACATTCTTCCCACTGACCCCCAATGTAAGGTACATTCTCCCACTGACCCCCAATGTAAGGGACATTCTTCCCACTGACCACCAATGTAAGGGACATTCTTCCCACTGACCCCAATGTAAGGGACATTCTTCCCACTGACCCCCAATGTAAGGGACATTCTTCCCACTGACCCCCAATGTAAGGGACATTCTTTCCCACATTGACCACCAATGTAAGGGAGCATTCTTCCCACTGACCCCCAATGTAAGGGGCATTCTTCCCACTGACCCACCAATGTAAGGGACATTCTTCCCACTGACCCCCAATGTAAGGGACATTCTTCTCACTGATCCCCCAATGTAAGGGACATTCTTCCCACCCCTGAGGGACATTCTTCCCACTGACCCCCAATGTAAGGGACATTCTTCTTCCCACTGACCCCAATGTAAGGGACATTCTTCCCACTGACCACCAATGTAAGGGACATTCTTCCCACTGATCCCCAATGTAAGGGACATTCTTCCCACTGACCCCCAATGTAAGGGACATTCTTCCCACTGACCCCCAATGTAAGGGACATTCTTCCCACTGACCCCCAATGTAAGGGACATTCTTCCCACTGACCCCCAATGTAAGGGACATTCTTCCCACTGACCCCCAATGTAAGGGACATTCTTCCCACTGACCCCCAATGTAAGGGACACATTCTTCCCACTGACCCCCAATGTAAGGGACATTCTTCCCACTGACCCCCAATGTAAGGGACATTCCCCCACTGACCCCCAATGTAAGGGACATTTCTTCCCACTGACCCCCAATGTAAGGGACATTCTTCCCACTGATCACCAATGTAAGGGACATTCTTCCCACTGACCACCAATGTAAGGGACATTCTTCCCACTGACCCCCAATGTAAGGGACATTCTTCCCACTGACCCCAATGTAAGGGACATTCTTCCCACTGACCACCAATGTAAGGGACATTCTTCCCACTGATCACCAATGTAAGGGACATTCTTCCCACTGACCACCAATGTAAGGGACATTCTTCCCACTGACCACCAATGTAAGGGACATTCTTCCCACTGACCCCCAATGTAAGGGACATTCTTCCCACTGACCCCCAATGTAAGGGACATTCTTCCCACTGATCACCAATGTAAGGGACATTCTTCCCACTGACCACCAATGTAAGGGACATTCTTCCCACTGACCCCCAATGTAAGGGACATTCTTCCCACTGACCCCAATGTAAGGGACATTCTTCCCACTGACCCCAATGTAAGGGACATTCTTCCCACTGACCAATGTAAGGGACATTCTTTCCCACTGACCACCAATGTAAGGGACATTCTTCCCACTGACCCCCAATGTAAGGGACATTCTTCCCACTGACCCCCAATGTAAGGGACATTCTCCCACTGACACCCAATGTAAGGGACATTCTTCTTCCCACTGACCCCCAATGTAAGGGACATTCTTCCCACTGATCACCAATGTAAGGGACATTCTTCCCACTGACCCCCAATGCAAAGGGACATTCTTCCCACTGACCACCAATGTAAGGGACATTCTTCTCACTGACCCCCAATGTAAGGGACATTCTTCCCACTGACCACCAATGTAAGGGACATTCTTCCCACTGACCCCCCAATGTAAGGGACATTCTTCCCACTGACTGACCACCAATGTAAGGGACATTCTTCCCACTCCCACTGACCCCCAATGTAAGGGACATTCTTTCCCACTGACCCCCAATGTAAGGGACATTCTTCCACACTGACCACCAATGTAAGGGACATTCTTCCACTGACCACCAATGTAAGGGACATTCTTCCCACTGACCACCAATGTAAGGGACATTCTTCCCACTGACCCCCAATGTAAGGGACATTCTTCCCACTGACCCCCAATGTAAGGGACATTCTTCCCACTGACCCCCAATGTAAGGGATTCATTTCCCACTGACCCCCAATGTAAGGGACATTCTTCCCACTGACCCCCAATGTAAGGGACATTCTTCCCACTGACCCCCCAATGTAAGGGACATTCTTCCCACTGACCCCCAATGTAAGGGACATTCTTCCCACTGACCCCCAATGTAAGGGACATTCTTCCCACTGACCCCCAATGTAAGGGACATTCTTCCCACTGACCCCCCAATGTAAGGGACATTCTTCCCACTGACCCCCAATGTAAGGGACATTCTTCCCACTGATCCCCAATGTAAGGGACATTCTTCCCACTGACCCCCAATGTAAGGGACATTCTTCCCACTGACCCCCAATGTAAGGGACATTCTTCCCACTGATCCCCCAATGTAAGGGACATTCTTCCCACTGACCCCCAATGTAAGGGACATTCTTCCCACTGACCCCCAATGTAAGGGACATTCTTCCCCACTGACCCCCAATGTAAGGGACATTCTTCCCACTGATCCCCCAATGTAAGGGACATTCTTCCCACTGACACACCAATGTAAGGGGACATTCTTCCCACTGACCCCCAATGTAAGGGACATTCTTCCCACTGACCCCCCAATGTAAGGGACATTCTTCTCACTGACCACCAATGTAAGGGACATTCTTCCACGTTGACCCCCAATGTAAGGGACATTCTTCTTCCCACTGATCACCAATGTAAGGGACATTCTTCCCACTGACCCCCAATGTAAGGGACATTCTTCCACTGACCCACCAATGTAAGGGACATTCTTCCCACTGACCACCAATGTAAGGGACATTTCTTCCACTGACCCCCAATGTAAGGGACATTCTTCCCACTGACCCCCAATGTAAGGGACTCTTCCCACTGACCCCCAATGTAAGGGACATTCTTCCCACTGACCCCCAATGTAAGGGACATTCTTCCCACTGACCCCCAATGTAAGGGACATTTCTTCCCACTGACCCCCAATGTAAGGGACATTCTCCCACTGACCCCCAATGTAAGGGACATTCTTCCCCACTGACCCCCAATGTAAGGGACATTCTTCCCACTGACCCCCAATGTAAGGGACATTCTTCCCACTGACCCCCAATGTAAGGGACATTCTTCCCACTGACCCCCAATGTAAGGGACATTCTTCCCACTGACCCACCAATGTAAGGGACATTCTTCCCACTGACCACCAATGTAAGGGACATTCTTCCCACTGATCCCCAATGTAAGGGACATTCTTCCCACTGACCCCCAATGTAAGGGACATTCTTCTTCCCCACTGACCATTCTTCCCAACCCACCAATGTAAGGGACATTCTTCCCACTGACCCACCAATGTAAGGGACATTCTTCCCACTGACACCAATGTAAGGGACATTCTTCCCACTGACCCCACCAATGTAAGGGACATTCTTCCCACTGACCCCCAATGTAAGGGACATTCTTCCCACTGACCCCCAATGTAAGGGACATTCTTCCCACTGACCACCAATGTAAGGGACATTCTTCCCACTGACCCCCAATGTAAGGGACATTCTTCCCACTGACCCCCAATGTAAGGGACATTCTTCCACTGACCCCCAATGTAAGGGACATTCTTCCCACTGACCCCCAATGTAAGGGACATTCTTCCCACTGACCCCCAATGTAAGGGACATTCTTCCCACTGACCACCAATGTAAGGGACATTCTTCCCACTGACCCCCAATGTAAGGGACATTCTTCCCACTGACCCCCAATGTAAGGGACATTTCTTCCCACTGATCACCAATGTAAGGGACATTCTTCCCACTGACCCCAATGTAAGGGACATTCTTCCCACTGACCCCCCAATGTAAGGACATTCTTCCCACTGACCCCCAATGTAAGGGACATTCTTCCCACTGACCCCCAATGTAAGGGACATTCTTCCCACTGACCCCCAATGTAAGGGACATTCTTCCCACTGACCCCCAATGTAAGGGACATTCTTCCCACTGACCCCCAATGTAAGGGACATTCTTCCCACTGACCCACCAATGTAAGGGACATTCTTCCCACTGACCACCAATGTAAGGGACATTCTTCCCACTGACCCCCAATGTAAGGGACATTCTTCCCACTGACCCCCCAATGTAAGGGACATTCTTCTTCCCACTGACCACCAATGTAAGGGACATTCTTCCCACTGACCACCAATGTAAGGGACATTCTTCCCACTGACCCCCCAATGTAAGGGACATTCTTCCCACTGACCCCCAATGTAAGGGACATTCTTCCCACTGACCCCAATGTAAGGGACATTCTTCCCACTGATCACCAATGTAAGGGACATTCTTCCCACTGACCCCCAATGTAAGGGACATTCTTCCCACTGATCACCAATGTAAGGGACATTCTTCCCACTGACCACCAATGTAAGGGACATTCTTCCCACTGACCCCCAATGTAAGGGACATTCTTCCCACTGACCACCCAATGTAAGGGACATTCTTCCCACTGACCACCAATGTAAGGGACATTCTTCCCACTGACCCCCAATGTAAGGGACATTCTTCCCACTGACCCCCAATGTAAGGGACATTCTTCCCACTGACCCCCAATGTAAGGGACATTCTTCCCACTGACCCCAATGTAAGGGACATTCTTCCCCACTGACCCCCAATGTAAGGGGACATTCTTCCCACTGACCCCCAATGTAAGGGACATTCTTCCCACTGACCCCCAATGTAAGGGGACATTCTTCCCACTGATCACCAATGTAAGGGACATTCTTCCCACTGACCCCCCAATGTAAGGGACATTCTTCCCACTGATCACCAATGTAAGGGACATTCTTCCCACTGACCCCCACCAATGTAAGGGACATTCTTCCCACTGACCCCCAATGTAAGGGACATTCTTCCCACTGACCCCCAATGTAAGGGACATTCTTCCCACTGACCCCCCAATGTAAGGGACATTCTTCCCACTGACCACCAATGTAAGGGACATTCTTCCCACTGATCACCAATGTAAGGGACATTCTTCCCACTGACCCCCAATGTAAGGGACATTCTTCCCACTGACCACCAATGTAAGGGACATTCTTCCCACTGACCCCCAATGTAAGGGACATTCTTCCCACTGATCACCAATGTAAGGGACATTCTTCCCACTGACCCCCAATGTAAGGGACATTCTTCCCCACTGATCACCAATGTAAGGGACATTCTTCCCACTGACCACCAATGTAAGGGACATTCTTCCCACTGACCCCCAATGTAAGGGACATTCTTCCCACTGACCCCCAATGTAAGGGACATTCTTCCCACTGATCACCAATGTAAGGGACATTCTTCCCACTGACCCCAATGTAAGGGACATTCTTCCCACTGACACCCCAATGTAAGGGACATTCTTCCCACTGACCCCCAATGTAAGGGACATTCTTCCCACTGACCCCCAATGTAAGGGACATTCTTCCCACTGACCCCCAATGTAAGGGACATTCTTCCCACTGATCCCCCAATGTAAGGGGCATTCTTTCCCACTGACCCCCAATGTAAGGGACATTCTTCCCACTGACCCCCAATGTAAGGGACATTCTTCCCACTGATCACCAATGTAAGGGACATTCTTCCCACTGACCCCAATGTAAGGGACATTCTTCCCACTGATCACCAATGTAAGGGACATTCTTCCCACTGACCACCAATGTAAGGGACATTCTTCCCACTGACCCCCAATGTAAGGGACATTCTTCCCACTGACCACCAATGTAAGGGACATTCTTCCCACTGACCACCAATGTAAGGGACATTCTTCCCACTGACCACCAATGTAAGGGACATTCTTCCCACTGACCCCAATGTAAGGGACATTCTTCCCACTGATCACCAATGTAAGGGACATTCTTCCCACTGACCACCAATGTAAGGGACATTCTTCCCACTGACCCCAATGTAAGGGACATTCTTCCCACTGACCCCCAATGTAAGGGACATTCTTCCCATTGACCACCCAATGTAAGGGACATTTCTTCCCACTGACCACCAATGTAAGGGACATTCTTCTTCCCACTGACCCCAATGTAAGGGACATTCTTCCCACTGACCCCCAATGTAAGGGACATTCTTCCCACTGACCCCCAATGTAAGGGACATTCTTCCCACTGACCCCCAATGTAAGGGACACATTTTCCCACTGACCCCCAATGTAAGGGACATTCTTCCCACTGATCACCAATGTAAGGGACATTCTTCCCACTGACCCCCAATGTAAGGGACATTCTTCCCACTGATCACCAATGTAAGGAGCATTCTTCCCACTGACCCCCAATGTAAGGGACATTCTTCCCACTGACCCCCAATGTAAGGGACATTCTTCCCACTGACCCCCAATGTAAGGGACATTCTTCCCACTGACCCCCAATGTAAGGGACATTCTTCCCACTGACCCCCAATGTAAGGGACATTCTTCCCACTGACCCCCAATGTAAGGGACATTCTTCCCACTGACCCCCAATGTAAGGGACATTCTTCCCACTGACCCCCAATGTAAGGGACATTCTTCCCACTGACCCCCAATGTAAGGGACATTTCTTCCCACTGACCCCCAATGTAAGGGACATTCTTCCCACTGACCACCAATGTAAGGGACATTCTTCCCACTGACCACCAATGTAAGGGACATTCTTCCCACTGATCACCAATGTAAGGGACATTCTTCCCACTGACCCCCAATGTAAGGGACATTCTTCCCACTGATCACCAATGTAAGGGACATTCTTCCCACTGACCCCCAATGTAAGGGACATTCTTCCCACTGACCACCAATGTAAGGACATTCTTACCACTGAGCCCCAATGTAAGGAGCATTCTTCCCACTGACCCCCAATGTAAGGGACATTCTTCCCACTGACCACCAATGTAAGGGACATTCTTCCCACTGATCACCAATGTAAGGGGCATTCTTCCCAATTTTTCTTTATTAAAAGTCTTGCAATCAATAAACATAAAATATTATACAGAATATAAAAAAAAATTATATATATTTACAGCAAAACGAAAATAAACATAGCAAAATCTGCTGTCAGACAAAAGCAAACGTCTCAGAAATGAACATGACATAATTGGGGAAATAAATCGTACTACCACTCACATCACTACACCAGACATCAAACCTGTGAGGTCAAGAAACCCCCCCGCCCCCCCCCTTATGCATGCAGCCCTTCTTCAAAAAAGATCTTAATCAACAAAAACTACGGGAGTGAAAAGAACAGTATAAGGAAAGAGACCCCCCTCACCCAGAGATGGACAGTTCACCAAAGGCAGGTCTGATATTCCTCCACGCCCTTATCCAGACCGCCCGAGGCTCCCTGCCCTTCTCAAGACCCCGAATCTTCCCAACCTCACCCAGAATATCGTGCACCACCACCTCTACAGGGAGGACTTTCTTCCGGATGGTAATCTGACACCGTGCGTTCCATGTGAAGTAACGGACAACTATACTAACTAGAAAAAGTGTATCCAAATCAAAGTCCCAGCGAGCTGGGAATGCCCCGTACACCCACTCTGCATAACTCATGCGATAGAGAAAGGGGATGCCCAGAACCCTCCCCACCCTTTTATACACCTCTATGTTAAAGGGACACAGGAGCAGAAAGTGGTCCATAGACTCCACTTTACCAACACACTCTGCTCTAGGACAATCCCGATCATCCACAGGGCGGTGCTTCAGGTTCCCTCTCACATAGAGCCTTCCATGGAAAGCGAGCCAGGCTTGATCCCTAAACTTCAAAGGGATTCTCTCCAAGTTAATTAAACGCAATCCCTCCCTCATTACGGAGCCTGGGCAATCCTTTAAGGCCAGTGACACACTGAAAGCAGAAGCCAAAATCCTCTCCCCCAGAAGCTTCCTGGGAAGGGACCTGATATCCTCCACTGTCACCTGCCACTGCCGAAGTATTTTCAGACACGGGGCAACATAAGCCAGGAGCTTGCCATGTCGGACTCTCAGACTTTTCACTGGGCCGCCATCTTCCCAGCAATGCAGAAAAGGCCTAAACCAAGACTGAAAAATACCCACCCATCCCGGCGGGGTCTCTGCTAACATATTACCAAGATTGTACTTTAAAAAGAGCAAAGAAAAGAAAACTATCGGGTTGACCATTCCTAGGCCACCCTCCCGCCTGGACAGGTAAGTTACATTGCGTTTGATCAGGTTCAGCCTATTTCCCCATAACAGTTGGAAAAAACAGCTGTAGACCCTTGCATAGAGAGATACCGGCAAGATACAGACGAAGCTGACATATAAAAAGATCGGGATCAGGTAAGTTTTGATTAAGTCAACCCTCTCTCTCAAGGAAAGCCTCCATCTCTTCCAGCTTGCTACTTTGGCATTGGCAACTACCAACCTGCTTTCCCAGTTTCGATGACCATAGTCACCAGGACCAAATTTGATGCCCAAAATTTTAATTTCCTGCTGGGGCTCTGGGAAGGCATCCGGAAGTTCGAAGCTTTCACCCTCCTCACCCATCCAGAAAACTTCACTCTTTTCATGGTTGACTTTAGAGCCAGAAGCCTCCGTGTACTGCTCTATCACAGAGACCACCTCCTGCGCCTCCTCAGTCCCAGAGATAATAACAGACACATCATCAGCATAGGCAACGACCTTCAAAGGCGGCACGCCAGCAATGCCCAGAGGCACCCCGCACAACGATGCGCCCTCTAGCCTTCTTACAAAGGGGGTCGATTGCGAAAGCATATAGCAGGGGGCTCAAAGGACATCCCTGGCGCACACCAGAGCCGACCTCAAAGGCCGCCCAACCCAACCATTAACAAGTGGGAAGCTCTCAGCCCCTTTATATAATGTCTTCAGCCAATCTATAAACCTCCCCTGCAGGCCGTATCTACCAAGCAGCAACCACAGATATTCATGATTCACTCGATCAAAAGCTTTCGCCTGATCCAATGCCAGCAAGTACTTTCTCCATCCAGCAGCCCTGCATCGTTCCAAAGCCTCCCGGATAGCCAAAACTGCTGAAAAGGTACTTCTACCTTGGACCGAACAGTGCTGATGGCTGGACAACAAATCGCCTGCTACTGACGACAAGCGCCAAAATAGAATCTTTGCCAAGATCTTTCTATCAACATTGAGAAGACTGATGGGGCGCCAGTTCTCAATCATTGAGGGGTCTTTACCTTTTGACAGAAGAATCACAGCGGATTGCCTCATGGAGGGAGGGAGCGAACCCTCTTCTAGACAGCTGTTAAAAACCATCCGCTAAAAAGGGAGCCAGAATGGACTTAAAACACTTGTAAAATTCAGCTGTCAATCCATCTGGCCCAGGCGATTTTTTGGTAGCCAGCTTGTCTATAGCCTGAACTACCTCATCCGCTGAAATTGGTTCTGTCAAATTCATCAAAAGCAATGCACCATTTCCCAATCCTGGAGTAGAATCCAGAAAGCTTTCCATCCTGTCCCGGCTAAGGTCCTTTCTTCCCAGGAGGTCTGCATAATACGACCCAAAGATCTCCAAGATCCCTGATCTGGACTTTATCAGGGAACCCGTACTGTCTTTCAGGCCAATGACCGTCTTAACTGCTATGCCTTGCTTACAGTTCTGGTAAGGATCAGGTGAGTGATATTTCCCATAATCCCTCTCCAGAACCAAGGAGGCATGCCGGTCGTATTGACACTTCCTAAGAAGAAGCTTCACTTCAGAGATCTCCCCTGGATCTCCTCCATACGAGACAAGACGATCAAGCTTCCTCCGCAAATGCTGGTAGGCAATATACATACCAAGCTGCTTCTTCTTACTTATGGCCTTGAAAAGTCCAATCGCCCTTTGTTTCACAAGGTCCCACCACTCTGACTTACTGCTGCAAAAGTCCAGAATAGAAACCTGTGCCTGAAAAAAATCCTCAAAGGATTGTCTTACCTCTACATCTTCCAGGAGAGCCGAATTCAGTTTCCAGACACCCCTTCCCCTGGGTGGAGTGTCCGAGGCATTCAGAGTCACAGACAGCATACAGTGGTCAGAGAACTCCACCGCCTTCAACTCAGGAGCTGAGAAAGCAGAGTTCTCCTTTAAAAAAAACCTGTCTATCCTGCTCTGACTATTCCCTCTCTGAAATGTGAACCCCGTGCTGCCAGGGCAGTGCTTAATGTGCACATCTACCAGGCCTGCCTGTCTAACCAAATCTCTGAGAAAAACGCTATCATAACCCAGCCTGTCTATGGAGCCTCTCCTGTCTTCAGGCCCCTAATTATGGTGTTAAAGTCACCTCCAAAGACAACCTGCTGGGACGTAAAAAGGAAGGGCTTGATCTTTGTGAGGAGGCATTTCCTGCCCCCATTTTGACTGGGGTCCATAGATATTGATCAGGCGCAGGTCCTGCCCCCTAACAGAGACGTCTAAGACCATGCATCTCCCCATTTCTACCTCAATCACCCGCCGGCACGTTACCATATCGGTTTTAAAAAAGGACCGCAACTCCGCTGCAAGGTTCAGCCGCAAGAGACCAAAAGGAGGGACCACATCTCCACTCCCTTTTTGCTAGATAGACATCGGCCAATGTATTGAGCCAGGTCTCTTGCAAAAATAAAATCTCAGCATCAAACTCGCTGAGCAAAAATAAGGCCGTATCACGAGCTCTTGCAGATTTAATGCTGGCGACATTAATGGTCACCACCTTTAACAGAGTGGGAACTGCCATCAGGATGATTGGGGTAGTCGTTTCCTAACCTCTACCACACTCTCATCACCCGAAACAGCTCTCTTCAGAGTACGTGACTCCCCCTCATCCATAGATGATAAAGAAATGGATATATCCGATACCATCTCATCACCTGACAAAACTGAAAAAGTATTGCCAAGAGGGACCCCTCCTGGATCTGATTCTGAGGAAGAGAGGACAGCTCTTCTCATCCTCCTCTTCTTCTTCTTCCTCTTCTCCTTCACCCTCTCCCACCCCTCATCAGCCGAATCCCCCCCAGCAGGAGGTGAGACATGGGACATGGATACCCCTCCCTGAGCCCCATCGGCTCCACCCCCATCCGGCACCCCCACAACCTCCTGACCACGTTTGCGCTGTCGGGGGACAGGTACCGGAGGTGGAGTAGGCCGAGAGGGAAGATCAGCTAAACCCGCCCCCCCAGCAGCTTCCGCCAGTCTGGAGGATCTACGTACTGTAGGATTAGGGACAGGGGGGACAGACTCAGGGGTGACATTACTGGGGGAAACACAATCTGACACAACAGACACAGGAGGTACAACTACAGTTTCCTCCCTAGCATCAGCTGCCTCATCCTCTTTATCCAGCCTCTGCAGCTCAGCCTCCAGTCCTGGCAGGTTGTGTAGTGCCTCTGGGCACAGACTGTATGGATGACCCATCTGCTGGCACAAATTACACCGAATCTCGGTGCATTCTTTGGCCAAATGGCCAAAATCCTGGCACAGTGAGCACTTCTTGATGGTGCAGGACGATGCAAAATGGCCTTTCTCTCCGCATTTGTTACAAACTTTAGGCTGACCTTGATAGAAAATGGTCAGCCTATCTCTCCCCAGAAAGGCTGAGCAGGGAAGATGCTGAACCACATTGCCCAGCACCCTCAATTGCACTGACACCGTCCAGGCCCCTGTCCATATCCTATGCTCATCCAGGACCTTCCGCAGTGGGGTGAGGACCTCACCATGTCGGCGTAGCCAAACTACTAAATCAGCCTCTGGTATGGATTCATTCCGGACCAGGATTGTCACCAATTTTATCAAAGGCTGTCTGGAAACAACCTTTGCCACCAAACCTTTCCACT